TTCTAGCACATGAACACCCTCTTGACGAAGCACCCGGCCGAATCATTTTCCTTGAAACCTGCATCTATACACGGCATAAATCCTGAATCCTTCCCCAAGCCTGAACATGAGTCAACAAGGCCAACTATAGCACATCTTTAACAATTTCCTTGCTCAAATTACCTCTTATGTTCTTTTCCCTTAGCTGAAATAACCCATCAATATGCTGATAACTAGAAATTTCACAAATAGAAGACCATGCAATCCAACCGTAGGCGGTGGGACTCTCCCACTTAGCTTGAAGCCACTATTATACAACTCTGGAATCCACCAAAATTCTTTATCTCTTATCGACATGACCTTGCGCAATCAAACCGCCAGATTCCTCGAAATCCTTCCGTTAACATTTCATGAACGCTCTGAATCTCTATCAACATTCACATATTCAACCTCTTACTGAATGGCCAATAAAATCCTTCGCAAAAGCTTCGCCAACCATGCGACTGCTGACCTACTCATAGGAGATAACCCACTTGAGCCCGTGCTCATCCGCCAGCTGCACAAGTCCATTCACTCATCGTGGAAATCAACTAAAATGTGCGACAATATCTTCCTATTCAAAGTCATGTTGTATCCTTCTATATAACAAGCAACTCCTTTCTATTGTATCCAATCTCCCACCGTATACTAGCCAATATTTCAAATTAAGCCTGTAGATCCAATCACCGTCCACTAAAATTCCCTGAATCATTCCAAACTTTCCTTATGGTGCGTAGTCATTCTACCACAAAACCCATATGCAACTCCGCCACTCTCCCACTTTGGCGGAACTCACTCCTTTAATCAACTACTCGACCTTCGCTTCTTATACCTGGCCTTCTAGAAATTTTAACCACCTCCTGACACTTCCCACATGTCCTTCCTCATCCTTTGTTGCCTGGTTTTTGTCTTGATTCAATCTCATTCTCTGCAACATTGGGACCAATAGATCGTCACTAGCTTTAAACTTTTTCGAAGATCATCTTTTCTCGAGCCGTCAACATTAAAAACACCGATTCAATCCTGAACCACCGCACCCCGCGATATCTGACAGTCGCTTCTCCAATATTTTTGCACAATAACCTGCCCTAAAGGAAAATCGTTGAAGATCATAACACTGGCGAACTTAACACATCCAATCGAGGACGACGATACCACGTCGCAAATGAAAATTCCACCACACTTGATAACACTAGTCTCGTTACTCCATCAATCCAAACCTGCACGTATATAGTCCGATTGCCTTTCCTCCATCAGAATAAAATACTGAATCTATGAATCATGCACTTAGAGAACTCCCTTCCAAGTCATACACTGCTTCCGCGCATGGAAAATCATCCCACCATCACATTAATACCATGTGATAAACACTCATGAGCATCATAGTAACCTGTGCATAGCCTCAATGCTCTCCAAAGTACAGCTATAGAGCTAAAATGGTGGGATATCCTTCCTCAAGGCGACAACAATAACCCGACCAACAATGCTGGGAGAAGCATCCCTCACCACATTTGTAGTACCATTACAATTCCTCAATTCCCGATTTATGATAAGCGTTTCGCGTCACATAAGACTGAATAGGAAAGAAACAAGGGCATAAGCCTCAAAGGAATCAAACAACACGATGAGGAATCAAGAAGGGAAGTACTCTTAACAGCCCTGTAGCCTCTCGAAGATAAGTGCAGACGTCTCCGCACGGTCCGTAAGACTCTACTAGACTCGCTCATGACTCGTGAGACCTAAGGGAACCTAGTGCTCTAATACCATGTTGTCACTACCCAAAATTCACTAAAGGTCGTGATGGCGCCGGACACCACCTCAGACAAGCCAATCATAAATACTTAATTTAGGCCTTGTTTTAATAATTTTGAAAACTATAATTTTTCCTTTAATTTTACTAGTAAAAGTTAACTGTTTCAAATTAAATAGAAATGTTTAGGAATTAATACAAATACCACATAATCATCCCAGAACCCGGTGTCACAAGTGCATGAGCATTTACTAGGGAATGAAATAAAATACAATAATTGTCCGAAATACAACTGGACAGGAATGAAATAATATAGTACAATACTCTGAAGGAGACTCTGTTGGCTGCGGATCGTCTCGAAAGATGCAGCTCACCTAAGTACGGCATCAACCATGCCGCTACGCCACTAGCCACACATGAACCTATGCAACAAAATGTACAACAAGTGTAGTATGAGTGCGGAAACAACATGTACCCAGTAAGTATCCCATCTAACCTCGAAGAAGTAGAGACGAGAGGTCGACTTCGACACTTACTAGTGGTCCAATAATAAAATATAAATAATGTGAATAATCATGGATTCATTAAATTAGCAATAAACTCAAGTAAGTCAAGAAACAAGTAAACATCCCTTTTTACATTTAGGAGTCTCTAAATTTATAATCCATTATTTATCAATTTATCTCAGACCAGAGAGGCAATATTAATTTACAAATCTCAAGCAAGCATTACAAGCATGCGCAAATCATGTCGAGGTCGTACGACCCGATCCAACAAATATTGAAATTGTGCACTACCAGAGGGTCGAATGGCGCGAATCATAGATGCATCTATTTAATCTGCCGAGGCATTCAGCCCATTCAAAAATTAAACACACACAGACAGTCAATCAAGAAGTCATCAGGGAACAATTATCCAAAGAAAGCCAATTCTCTTTTAACAATTTAAGAAAATGAAGTTTAATCTTTTTTTTAGAAATTCATTTACTAATTTGATGTGATTTAAGCAATTCAAACTGTCAATAAGATTACAAATATTCCAGGTATAGCATGTTTTTGGGTCCTAGACTATCCGAACTTAAACATAATAGTAGCTACGCACGGACTCTCGTCACCTCGTGCGTACGTAGCCCCTACAAATAGAATCACATAGCCAATTATTTCACCTATGTGGACAATTCCCTCTTATAAGGTTAGAAAGGAGACATACCTCGCTCTGAAATCCAATGACCGGCTTCCAAGCCCTTCCGACGACTCAAACCGATGCCCCAACGCTCCAAAACTAGCCAAATAACGGGGAAACCAATAAAAATACACCCTAATATTTATAAAAATTCAATATATATAGAATCCCAACTCCGCTTGAAAAGTTGACAAAATCACCCTCGGGCCCATGTGCCCGGATTTTGGAATTTTTCGATGATAAAGTTCACCCATAACCTCACAAACTCAAATATGTAATCTACTCTTAATTTCATGCCTAAAATCGTGGTTAAAATCCAAGAATACCAAATTTCTAGGTTTTCCTCAAAATCCCAAATTCCTACAAATTTTCATACTTTAATCCGTAATAATACCATGTATTTAACTCACAAGGGGTGGAATTAACTTACCTCATGGTTGATGATGAAATAAATCACCCAACCAAGAAGAAAAATGAAGGATAATGGGCCAAATCCCGATTTTTAAAGAGCTCACTACCTCCAGCATTTCTGCACCTGCGGTTCATTGACCGCTTCTGCGATTCCGCAGATGCGGCCCCCACTACCGCTTCTGCGGTCTCCTTCCGCTTTTGCGGTCAACTGCCCCGCTTCTGTGCCTGCGCGGATGCGGCCAATACCCCACATTTGCGGTCCTCCCCTTGGCTGCCCAATTCCGCACCTGCGACTCCCAGGCCGCTTCTGCGGCTCCGCACCTACGGCCACAACCTCGCAGGTGCGGTTACACCAGATACCAGCTGCTTCAATTCTTCTTCAAATTCACATTTTGATCCGTTAACCATCTGGAATCCACCCGAGGCCTCCGGGACCCCAACCAGTCATACCAACTAGTCCCAAAACATGATGCGGACCTGCTCGAGGTCTCAAATTACATCAAATAATGCTTAAACCATGAATCGCCCTCCAATCCAAGCTTAAGGAACTTTAGAATTCCAAACTTCAACATGTGATGCCGAAACCTATCGAATCACGTCCGATTGACCTCAAATTTTGCACACAAGTCATATTTGACATTACAGACCTACTCAAACTTCTGGAATCGGAATCCGACCCAGATATCAAAAAGTCCACTTCCGGCCAAACTTCTCAAAAACCTTCAAGTTTCTAACTTTAGCCAAATGACTCCAAAATGACCCCACGGACCTCCGAATTCACTTCCGATCGCGCTCCCAACACCAGAATCACCATTCGGAGCTATTCCCAGACTCGGAATACCAAACGAACAACGATAACACTGAAATGCACTACAATCCAAACTTATGAAATTCTTCCAAAAGGCTAAATTCCACAATAGGTGCCGAAACATTCCCGGGTCTTCCAAAACCCGATCCGGACATACGCCCAAGTCCAAAATTATCATACGAACCTGTTGGAACCTTCGAATCCTGATTCCGAAGCCGTTTACTCAAAAATTCAATCTTAGTCAGTTCTTCCAACTTAAAGTTTTCGAAATGGGAATTCTCTTTCCAAATCGACTCTGAACTTCCCGAAATTCAATTCGGACATTGCGTACAAGTCATAATACCTGAAGTGAAGCTGCTCATGGCCTCAAACTGCTGAATGACGCGCTAGAGCTCAAAACGACTGGTCGGTTCGTTACAACTACTATGATTTATTTTTGTGAATTAAATATATTGTAGTAATCGGCTCATTTATAATGTTAACAGCTTTAAGGATATTTCTCTCTTTTTAACAAAAAAAAGTGCTTACCAGCACTTGTTTACCAAACATATCAATAACTTTTTTAAGCTTCAGCATTTTTATCCAAAAAGATAACTACTTATTTGTAAAACAAGCTCCAGCACTTAAAAGCTCCTTTTTTCGGCTAATCCAAACGGGCTCTAAATGTGTTAGAACAAAGGAAGAAGGTTTTAAGAATTTAAAGAAGTGCTTAGAGAAGAACTTGCTTTGATTTTTCCATTAGAAAATATTTATCGAGGTAGACATGATACACTTCTACTTGTTTAAACTTATGGTCTCCAAATGTTCTAGTATTGCAAAACTTGACCACAAGTTGCTGAAATAGTCGACTGTTTGTATGTGGTAGATTGTGAAAAATTGAAATCACCGTCTAAATATACAGTTCTTGTGGTACGAAATTCTATTTTCACAAAACGTATTGTAAAATTGTTCCTCTTTTTCCTTCCTGAGCCGAGGGTCTTTCAGAAACAACTTCTCTGTCTTCTTAAAGGCACAAGTAAGGTTTGCATACACTCTATCCTCCCCAAACACCACTTGTGGGATTATACTGAGTTGTTGTTATTGTTTGGTAAAAGTAGAATTTCATAACAATCACAAAACATATTTTGTAAGGATGATGTCATGATGCCATATGCAACAATATCTATGAATGTTAAGAAATTATACTTGTGACTGAAACTATCCTAAAAATATCAGCTTACCTTTATATCAAGAAGTACCACTTAAGAGGTTGAGAAATATACAGGTGCTTGCGCAAGACATAGATATCAGTTTTCAACATTTCAAAGTTGGTTGTGTATGGCTATTTCAACATTCCATCTCTCTCTGTTTTGTTCTCCAACGAGTCTTAGTAAGTCTTGTCCAAACATTTGCTATTCAAGTGTCATTCTTCACTTGCTGAGGCTGTAGAATCAAGTGCTGAACCCGTAGAAGAATATATAAAGGGCTTCGTTGGCTGCCCCAAAGATATTATTGTCGATCCTTCCGATCTTGAGGGAGAACAGATGAAAGGCTTCGGTGGAAATTGGATGGCCTCTAAGCTACCTTCCAGCATTTCAATTGCCTTACTCATTGGTGGTCTCTGCGAGGGATCAGTTTGGATGCACCACAATCCTACTAATATCATCTTCTTTGCAATTTCCTTTTCTTCTTTGGTCGTGCTGCCTTGTATATTTATGTCTTCATCTGTCACAAGGCGTTGATAAGCCCAACGTGGGAAGTATACTTCGCTATGATTGCTTCTTTCAGCGCTGTAATTCCTTCTTCCTCCAACCATTTCAAGAACCATCATTCCGTAGCTGTAAACATCAGATTTGTGTGAGACACTTCCGAAATTTCTACTGAATACTTCTGGAGCAATGTAACCGATGGTTCCTCTAGCTTCCAACATTGATATCATACTTTCTTTCTGAAGGCATAATTTTGCTAGGCCAAAATCAGATATCTTGGGGCAGAAGTCCTCATCCAGAAGGATATTGTGAGGTTTTATGTCAAAATGCAATATTCGTGCATTGCATCCTTGGTGCAAATACTCCAGTCCTCGACCTATCCCAAGCGCGATTTCGAACAACTTTTCCCATCCCAACTTAGAACCTTCACCATAGATGTGTTTATCAAGGGATCCATTGGGCATGAATTCGTAAACAAGAGCTCTTTCTCGGCAATTAAAACAAAAACCCAACAGAGTAACTACATTGACATGGGAAGTTCGACTGATGCTTGCAACTTCATTGATAAATTCTTCCCCATTCCCTTTAGTCTCATTTAGAATCTTGATAGCAACGGGACGGCCATTAAGGCTACCTTTGTAGACCCCTCCATAACCCTCTTGTCCGAGTTTCTCTTGAAGTGAATTTGTCATTTTCTTAATGTCTGAATAGCTATATGCTTTAGGGGCTAGGGATCCATACTGCCGGAGGACAGACTCAATATTCTGGTGCTCTCCTCTTCTTTGATAACAAAAGGTATGTACCAGATGATTTCTTTGCGAAGTAGTAAAAGATAAAGCATGCCAATATCGTTGTTATCCCAGCAGCAGATATACCTGTAATTAACCAGACGAAAAAAGGGTGTTCAAATACACTGATTATCTGCAAGTTCTTGGTCATTGTTGAGAAGAGAAAGATAATAATAAGATGAACAATGTCAAATTAAGGACAGTTACCTATGGCAGCCTTCACTCTGATATCTCTTTTATTTCCTGTAATGCAAAGATAAACAAGTGATGAATTGATACAGAAGCATAATAAGGGATCTTCAGTGGTATAACAAATCAACTGTTTTCCTATATATGAAGAAATAAGTTTTTCTCACTCCAACAATCGAGATATGGTCAAATGTGGATATGGAATTTTAGTTTCTCGATTTACGATGATGACATGTTTTGCTTTGGGGATGGATTCATCATCCGAGCACCACAGTGCCCTCTGCTATTCAGGCAATCACGATATTCAGCCTCATCCTAGTGTAGGAAAAAACACCCTTTCGCAACACTTATGAGTAACTCAGTTTTGCATAAACAGGGTCCTGACATCACTGGCACAATATATAACATAATGTTGTCTTCCTTTTATAAGGTTGTGTACACTGTACAGCCATAGGAGAAGAAGAGGTGTCATCTTAGGGCCTAGGCTAAATGAAGCACTCCCGAGGCTGAAATTACTTGAGGCATTGGACAACCTTGCTAAACTTATGAACTGTACTTTTTAAAGATGTATTGTCATCTCCATTGTTCACATATTTCGATATATCCATCTTCCCAGGATAAGCTGAAACAAAACTTGTGCCACATAAATTAAGCTGTTGTCTAATACCCAAATCTCAGAAGGGGCATCAATGCAATGCGCTTGTATATGAGCAATCTCTAACTAGGAGTATATTTTACTATTTGAGCATGACTTTTCCGGATAATGTACTTTTTTTATTGGGTTGCTTATAGAAATTCATCAATACGAACTTCTTCCGAATACCTTTCAAAAGTTAGATGACTCATTGGTCGCAAATGATGGATTATATTTGTCAAGTACCACCCAAAATTATAAATTTTTGGTGCAGCTAGATCAATTATACAGAGATCTTTTAGGTTTGAATTGTTGGGAATAAACCTCCACAGAAATAATATTCACGGTAATAAAAGCGGAATAATAACGTAGCACCGAGATACGGTAATTAACAAGAATAAAAGAGTAACAACGACACTAAAGTTTTTACGTGGAAAACCATTTTGAATAAGGGAAAAAACCACGGCCCCGAGAGGAGCAACTGATATTACTATAGCAAGGAATTTTACACTTTGTAGGTCTGAGTAAAATACTCTAAAGACCACTACAACACTCAAAAGAAATAACACTCTTTTGATATTCCCACCTCACTACAATATCACTCACTCTTTATTTTTTTCACAGATTATTTTCTTATACCCTGTCTGTGAAACCTCACTCTTTCTTTTTAACTCTCAAATATATTTTTCCTTTGAGATTGGTGTGTCAAAATGAGAGCTGAAGCTCTCCTTTTTATAGGCAGAGCCTCACACTCTCACGCCTACCATATTTGACATTGTCCTCTCACGCCTACTATTTTTCTTCTTTTTCTTCAATATTGACAATTCAGAAACGATGGGGCCAATTTCAAAGAAAAAGATTTAGAAGTCTTTATCAACACCTTAAATCATGGGATGGACCCCACAAAGAAGTCTTTTTCAAAGCCTTAAATCATTAGATGGACCCCACAAATCTCCCTCTCCAATCTCATTAACCTGAAGGAGGTAACACCAGAGATTCTAGTTTGAGCGCATGCCGACAAGTTCTTTGCAAAGCTCGAACTTGTCTCTTGATACTACCTTGGTTAGCATATCCACAAGATTTTCACTCGTGTGAATCTTTTTGACCTGTAAAGATTCATTCTCCAACTGTTCATGAATCCAATGATATCTCACATCTATATGTTTTGGTCTTGCATGGTACATGGAGTTCTTGTTCAAGTCTATTGTACTTTAACTGTCACAATAGACGACATACTCCTTTTGATGCAATTCCGGCTCTTGAAGAAACCGCTTGAGCCATACCATCTCTTTGCCAGATTCAGTAGTGGCAATATACTCCGCTCCAGTTGTTGAGAGTGTGATACAATTTTGCAACCTCGACTGCCATGATATAGCTCCCCTGAAAATGTAAACAAATATCCGATAGTGGATTTTCTGTTATCAATGTCACCTGCCATATCAACATCTGTATAGCCCTTCAAGATTGGATCAGATCCTCCAAAGCACAAACAATCTCCTACAGTACCTCTTAGGTACCTGAGTATCCACTTGACTGCTTCCCAATATTCCTTTCCAGGATTTTCANGATTTTCTGTTGTCAATGTCACCTGCCATATCAGCATCTGTATAGCCCTTCAAGATTGGATCAGATCCTCCAAAGCACAAACAATCTCCCGTGGTACCTCTCAGGTACCTGAGTATCCACTTGACTGCTTCCCAATATTCCTTTCCAGGATTTTCAAGAAACCTGCTGACAATACCAACTGCGTGAGCAATATCAGGTCTAGTGCATACCATTGCATGCATCAAGCTTCGAGCTGCTGAATAATAAGGAACTCTAGCCATGTTCCCTTTCTCATCCACTATTGTAGGACACATCTTCTTGCTTAACTTTAGATGACTAGCAAGAGGTGTGCTGACTGCTTAGCACTTTTCATGTTGAAGCGTTCCAGTACACGTTCAATGTACTTCTCCTGAGATAGCCACAACTTTCTGCTTGTTTGATCTCAAACTATCTTAATCCTTAGAATTTGTTATGTTGGGCTCAAGTCCTTCATATCAAATGACTTGGACAGATCTTCCTTCAACTTTGCGATCAGCCCCTTATGTTTTCCTACAATTAACATGTCATCCACGTACAACAACAATATAATAAAATTATTCTCAGAAAATCTTTTGAAGTATACAAATGGATCAGAATAGGTCTTTATGTATGTTTGACTTTTCATGAATGAGTCAAACTTCATGTACCACCGCCTTGGTGTCTGCTTCAATCCATAAAGACTCTTATTCAATTTGCACAGCATGTGTTTCTTTCCAGCTACTTCAAATCCTTCTGGTTGCTCCATATAAATCTCCTCTTCCAAATCTCCATGAAGAAATGCAGTTTTCACATCTAACTACTCCACTTCAAGATCTAGGCCGATTGCTAAGCTCAAAATTGTTCGAATAGAAGTCATTTTGACAACAGGTGAGAAAATTTCGTCAAAATCAATACCTTTCTTCTGTTCAAAGCCTTTAACCACCAATCGAGCTTTGTATCTCACTAGCTTGCCATTTTCATCTTTCTTGAGTTTAAAGACTCATTTGCATTTGAGTGGTCTTTTACCCTTTGAAAATTCAACCAGCTTGTACGTGCCATTTTTCTGTAGAGATTCCATCTCTTCTTGCATGACTTTTATCCACTGGTTCTTTTCTGGATGGGACAACACCTCCTTAAGACTTTCTGGCTCCCCCTCATCACTAATTAGGACATACTCTGTGGAAGGGTACCTACATGACTCTACCCTTGGCCTCTCTGATCTCCTCAGAGGTTGAGGTTATTCTTCTTCCTGAGTGGGATGCTCCACTTCCTCGACACCTTCATCAAGTTGCTCCCCCTGCTCAATAACCTCACCAGGTTGCTCCCCTTGCTCGGCAACCTCGTTGGTCCTACTTTCTGCACTAGTGGGATTGTTAGAAGTAAAAGGAATAGTAACAAGGTTAGGAATTATACCAGTCTTCGCCTTCTCTGACGTATCAGCAGCAGTTCCAACTTCACTTTATCGGATGTAGAGAAGACTACATCTTTGCTTCTGATGACCTTCTTCTTTACAAGATCCCACAATCTATATCCGAACTTTTCATCTCCATATCCAATGAATATGCAGGAAACAAATTTATCATCCAGCTTTGTTCTCTGCTCCTTTGATACATGTGCAAAAACTCTGCAACTGAACACCATCAGGCGTGAGTAGGACACCAACTTGTTGGTCCAAACTCTCTCTAGGATGTCAAACACCAATGGAATTGATGGACTTCTATTGATCAGGTAACAGGCTGTCTGAACTGCTTCACCCCAGAATGACTTAGGCAAGCCATTCTGAGCATACTTCCCACCTTCTCCACGATGGTGCGGTTCATCCTCTCGGCTACGCTATTGTGCTAAGAGGTTCCAGGAACTGTCTTTTCATGTTTGATCCCATGACTTGAACTTTTCAAATTCCCTTGAAGTGTACCCATCTCCATTGTCACTTCGGAGACGCTTTAGCTTTCGACCCGTCTCCCTTTCTACTAAAACATGAAACTTCTGGAAAACTTGAAACATATGGTCTTTGGTTTTCAAAATATAAACCCATAATTTTCTTGAAGCATTATCAATAAAAGTAACAAAATATTTGTTACCGCCCATCGATTCAATTTCCATTGGACCACAAACATCAGAATATACTAAATCAAGTATATTCAATTTTCTTTCAGACGAAGTCTGAAATGAGACTCTATGCTGCTTACCAAATAAACAGTAGTCACAAGGTTTTATCGTTGTACCTTTGTCAAAAGAGATAGTGATTTCCTGGCAAGAATTTGCAATCCCTTCTCGCTCATATGACCCATTCTTTTGTGCCACAAATCTGCACAAGTCTCATCTTGTGCCGCATTTAATTCACCTTGGCATATTTCTACATTTTTCCTGCACAACGTGCCACGAGCAACTCCCTTTGCAATCACCATTGATTTGCAAAATAGTTCTCATATCCATCTCGGTGTAAAGCAATTCCCGAGATCAAGTTCATCCGCAAATCAGGTACATGCCGCACGTCCTTTAGAACCAATGTGCATCTGACATTTGTCTTGATACAAATGTCACCGATCCCCGCAATTTTTGAGTAACTCGTGTTACCCATTCTCACAGTTCCAAAATCACCTTCTACATATCTGCAAAAAATTTCTCTTACTGGTGTAGCCTGGTAAGATGTTGTTGTATCAACCACCCATTCCGACTCTGGACCTAACAGGTGCATGCATTTCTCTTCCTCATTTATACAGAGGACAACATTATCATTGTTTTGCACCATGGCAGTTGTGTTGTTGTCATTCTTCTTGCCACTGGTTTCACTTTTGCCCTTGCTTGGATTTGGACAATCTCTTTTGAAGTGACCTGGTTGATCACAATTGTAGCAATTTCTGACTCTTGATTTGGATCGGTTCTTAGATTTCCCACGAGCTCCGGATCTACCATAGTTGTTTGAACTCCTTTGATAATTCATGCCTCTACCTTTTGTGACGAGAGCATGTCCTTGATTTCCAGGCTTCTTTCTCATCTTCTCATTGAGTAGAAGAGCCGATGTGACATCTTTCAACTTAATGGTAGTCTTACCGTGCAGGATGGTTGTTGCCAAATTATCGTACGAAGATGGCTACGAGTTCAATAGCAAGATGACTTTATCTTCTTCCCCGATTTTCACTCCGAGGTTGGCGAGCTGTGTGATTAGTCAGTTAAACACATTTAAATGTGACAAAAAATTCGTACCTTCACCCATATTTAGGGCGTATAGCTGCTTCTACAGGTACAATTTATTTGTCAGTGTTTTGGACATGTATAGGCTTTCCAACCTTGTCCAAATTCCACGTGCAATGTCTTCATCAATGATATTATTTAACACATCATCTAATAAGTGCAACCTGATTGCACTGGGATCCCTTTCATCCAAATCAGCCCAGTCCTCAGCTTTCATGGTATCAGACTTTTTAGCATCAACATCTAGTACCTTGTGTAATCCGTGTTGGATAAGCAGATTCCTCATCCTTCTTTGTCATGTTGTGAAACCGCTATCTCCGTTGAATTTTGCTACCTCATACTTTACTTCGAACATTTTTATTTTTCACTAAGTATAGTACTACCGAGAGTGAATAGTATTTCTGTGAATAAGCAGAACTTGTGCTCTGATACCAGTTGTTGGGAATAAACCCCCGCAGAAATAATATTCACGGTAATAAAAACGGAATAATATGTAGCACCGAGATACAGTAATTAACAAGAATAAAAGAGTAACAACGACACCAAAATTTTTACGTGAAAACCCCTTTTGAATAAGGGAAAAAACCACAGCCCCGAGACGAGCAACTGATATCACTACAACAATTAATTTTACACTTTGTAGGTTCGAGTAAAATACTCCAAAGACCACTACAACACTTAAAAGAAATAACCCTCTTTTGATATTCTCACCTCACTACAATATCGCTCACTCTCTATTTTTCTCACAGACTATTTTCTTATATCTTATCTGTGAAACCTCACTCTTTCTTTCTAACTCTCAGATATATTTTTCCTCTGAGATTGGTGTGTCTAGATGAGACCTGAAGCTCTGCTTTTATAGGCAGAGCTGCACTCTCTCACGCCTACCATATTTGACATTTTCCTCTCGCACCTGCTATTTTTTCTTCTCTTCAATATTGACAATTCAGAAACGATGGCTATCAATTTCAAAGAAAAAGACTTAGAAGTCTTTATCAAAGCCTTAAATCATGGGATGGACCCCACAACAAAGTCTTTTTCAAAGCCTTAAATCATGGGATGGACCCCACATGAATTTCTAGAATGATCATAAGAGATGGAATAAATCTGAAAGGCAAGAAAAGAAATGGAAGTTTCACACCAAAGACGGGAACAAATTTGGCAGTACTTAGAATGGACCAGATTCTCCAAAAATTATTTTAGATATGTATGTCGGGGCCAAAAATACTAGGCCATATGCCAGCCTATGGTTTTTCCCCCCTTTCTTGAAGACTATGGGCTACCAGTTAGATACAGCTAAATTTGGCAAACAGAGTAAATTAGATTAGGGAGATGGAACACACCTTGATCTATTACATAACCACAGTAATAAGAATAAGTTCGGTCCCTACAAAGGCACGTTGGCTCCGTAAGATTTGTCTCTGACCAACATAACCCGCCTGACTTCTCACAAACTATACATTCTGTGCTTTTGTTAAACACCACATCAAACCCTTGCTTCAATAGCTCCAATATCTTCGTACTTCCTTCGTTCTTGAACTGCTCAAATGCCTTCATCACAACAGGAACGATGACCTTTGTTAGATAAANGATTAAAATTGTTCTGAAGCATATTAATGTTTCCAAGAAATCTATTAAATAAAGCTTCAAAAATACTAATACGGATTGAAACAATCAAGGCGCATGTGGTATAATCGCCTGTGTGAGTACCTATTGAAAGA